GAGTTAAGCAAATTCAAAATATCTTGTCATTGTATGTATCCTTATACCCGCTTTGAAAACAGGACAATGTGATGTTCGTTCATGTTCTCTGTTTTGATATTTCTCTTTTATGTTTTACTGTTAATATGAAAATAAAGAATTTGCCATGTGTGACAGCTAAAAAAAAAAATCATGATATAATTTCTACATGATAACATTGGTTGTAAACTAGGTGAATAAATGGAGATTAAAACTTTGAAAGATCAAGACATGAGTCAGATTTTGCTTCAGAATAAATGAAAAATGACTACAATTTTCAGACCTTTAAATTTTTTGCAAATATATGTACGTACATTCACATGTCATAGTCTGTATAGTGTGTGTTATAGCATGTATAAAAACAGTCTCCAAGATTCCTTCCAGTTCTCAACTCTGATTTCTAACTCCTCTACTCTTTTTTTCCCTAATGTCTTGTTCTTGCCTGACAGATTTCCTTCCCTTCCCTCTTCAAATATTTTAAACTTATTTACTTTAAAACTCATTCATACGGTTCAATTATCTGTAGTTCACAAACTATGATTTCTACCCTCAGGGCTTGAGGCTACTGCCCCTTGTGGGTTGGAACTGGCTTGCATGCTTTAGAATTGGTTCCCATGAGCCCATCTGGATGTGAATGACCTTCTCTAGGGTCATATGCCCTAGACCATGGGAATGTCTCTGTGGGGTGAATGTCTTCACAGTTGCCTGTTCCACACTCTATGGGATTTCACTATTTCTGACCAGCTTTTATATTAAGCTTTTGGGTTCTTTGTATTGTATAGTAAGTGCCAGGAGTCTCACCTGTATGCAGAAAGCTGACCTAGTTCCTCTTACTTCCATCTTATTTTACATTATCTACATCCTGCAGAAGAGTGAAAATTCCAGCCCTAAAGCATATGGCCATTTGGTTATTATCTTGGGTTGTAAGATTATAATTGTCTTTTCTCTGGGGACCCCTCTTTGTTTTTAGCACCTGGAAACTTCTGTTTCTTATTTGCAAGCCTAATTGTGCATTTAATTTTATTTCCAGATATTTTGTCAACATTTCTATGTGCTAATCAAAGGATAGGAAACTTTTTGCATCAACTTAGCTTGTCATAATAGA